GCTTTCTGCTCCCGTAAAGATTTATAGCCTCGGAAACCCTGTACAGGGTCGCTATGAGTCGGAACCAACTCCACGGCACATAACAACAACAACAATATTAAATATTAGTTTATAAATAAGTGTGGTGCTGTGGGTTAATGCATCAGACTGCAAAGCCGTTTGAACCGTAAGGTTGACAGTTCAAGCTCACCAGCTGCTCCTCAGAAACCCTATACAGGGTCGCTCTGGGTCAGAACTTAACAACAGAATTAAATAAAAAGACCTATTCCGTTCCTTAGTCCCACCAGCTGCAATTCAAGTGCTCAGTAGCCACCTGTGGCTTGTGGTGACCACATTGAATGGCACAGACAGAACATCTCCATCATCGTAGAAATTTCTAGTAAAAATGCTGTAGTGGGCTGAGTTCTTTGAGGTCAGAGGAGAAAATGAACATGGAATGAATACCTACTGTGTGCCCACTGGGACTTGCTTTATTTAATATCTTTTCATTTTGGGTTTACTTTTATTATATATCATTATATTATATACAAATATGTTGTTGTTATGTGCCGTGGAGTCGGTTCTGACTCATAATGGCCTGGTAACAGGGTTTCCGAGGCTGAAAATCTTTTTGGGAGCAGAAAGTCTCATCTTTCTCCCACGGAGCAGCTGGTAGTTTCGAACTGCTGACCTTGTGGTTCGCAGCCCGATTTGTAACCACTACGCTATCAGAGCTCCTTATATACAAATATACCAGGATAAAATAATCAACAGGGACATCTCTCACCCATTTTCCATAATTAACAATTTGACAATTTTGTTTTTTGTTTTCCAATAAACTCCAAACTTAATTGTCCCTCAGACAAAGGACTTTTTAAATTTGTGTTTTATATAATTTTCATGCCCATAATCATTTCTAACAAAATCAGCAGTAATTCCTTCATATCAAAAACACCCTGTCCATAGTCAGGTCTTTCCATTGTCTCTAAATTGTCTTTTTATATTTGTTTCTTCAAATCAGGCTTCAAAGATAATCTACTCAAATCATTTGGTTATTTGTCTCCTAAGTCTACTTCATTTTATAACAGCCCCCCTTATGTTTTTATTTAATGCCATTATTATTTTTTTAATGGATCATTTGTCTCCAGGAATGTCCCACATTCTGGATTTGCCTGTTTGCTTCCTCATGGTATCATGTAGTTGCCTCTCTATCCCCCATCTTTGCTGTAAGATCTAAAGCTTTGATTAGATTTGGGTACACAGTTTTTTTCCATAACTCACTGTAAAAAAAAAATTAATATTTTGCAATGCTATCTGTCCTAATCTGAAATGAAAGACAAGATCATTTAAAAACTAATATGATGTCACAATTGGAATCTGAAGTAGAAATGAAATTTTATGAAAGTAATTTGCACAATAGTAAACTATGCTTTTTGATATGCTCCTGCTTGGACATGCCCTACTAAGCGGCATAATGAAGTTGCCCCAGTGCCTTTGCATGTCCTAGTATCCCAGTGACCGTATCACCCACTAACACTGACGAGTACAAGGCTATGCAGTGACAACTCAGACAGAACAGCAAAGAGGATGGCGTGATATTGCTTCCCAAAATGATGAATGACACTTGAAAAATCCAAGCAAAATAGAGTCCCGATTTTTATAGTTTATATTTATGATCATTCATGATTTATATTTATGAATACTATAGTCAAATTCAAGGTGCAAATGATTGTAAACAGGTTTTCTAATGACATGAATGTCTGGGGGGACATTTGAAGGCTGGTAACAAAGCTGAATCCCCAACTAAAGACAAATCTGGAAACTTCCAAACTGTCCCCTTGTTGTTAAGTGCCATTGAGTCAGTTCTGACCCATAGAGACCCTGTATAGGGTTTCTGAGAAGGTGCTGGTGAGCTTGAACTGCCGACCTTGCCGTTAAAACTGACCTTGCATTCCAGCGCATTAACCCCCAGTGCCACACTAGGACACCAAATTGCCCCCTAGAGGATGCCATTATTGAAACTCATTGTGATAAACTCTCACATTTTATTAACCACACTATCTCACTTAATCTAAAAAAATTAAAATAAACAAGATAAAGAAACCAAAACACAGACATTAAAAAGACTTGCTTTAGGTTACACAGCAAGCTGTGTGAACAAACCATAATTTAAACAATTTTCTCTTAACCACAAAGTTGTGCCATTGCTCCCCAAAAGATAAGGGCAGCAAAATCTTATCCAAAAACAGACTTGAAATCATAGAGCTTGATTGCCTACTTCAGCTTTTGAACACCTACTGTCCACTGGTTTCAGGTTCTCATTTTGCTGGTTACTGAAGATGTAATCTAGGGGAAATTGCTCGGTACCTGCTTTTCTCATCTTTAGACCAAACCAAACCCAGGCCACTGAGCTCATGCCAACTCCTAGTGACCCTGTATAGGGTTTCCGCGGCTGTAAAGTTTTGCAGGAGCAGATAGTCTCATCTTTCTCCTGCACAGCATCTAGTCGGTTTGAACTACCAACTGTGTTTGTTGTTAACCCTGCAGTCATCTCCTACAGTGCCACCAGGGATCCTCGCCTGTAGCCGGCGGGTACATAATAGTACCTCTTTGGGGTTGCAAGCTGAGTGACAGGACATCCACATTAGGTGCTCAGTGAAGACTAATGCTGTGTTCCATTGGAGATACACACTTGAGAATTTTTGTGCTTATTAGAGTTTGGAGTAGATTTCCCTTCTTTGGGACCCCTGTGAGACAGAGAAGGACTGCTCCAGAGAGTTTTCTTGGCTGTAATCTTTGCAGAAGTCAATTGCCAGGTTCTCTCCTGCAGAGCCGATGGGTGGGTCCCAGCAGCTAATCTTTGGGTTAGCAGCCAAGTGCTTAACAGTTGTGCCAACAGGACGCCTGGAGATTTTTACCCACCCTCTCTCATGCTTCCTCAAGGGTCTCCGGGAGGTGCTCAGACTTCTAACCCAGACTCCCCAGAGGGCTGTGCGGAAGAGGAGGTAGGACTTGTGCGGGAAGGCCCCGAGCTCCTGGATTTCAGCGTGGACGAAGTGGCAGAGCAGCTGACCTTGATGGATGTTGTGAGGACCCGGGATCCGGGACCTGGGAAAGCGGGAGTATAAGGAAGAGGGAGGGGCAGACCCTGCTGAGCTCCTCCCTTCCCTCCACCCGTCCCAGGAACTCTTTTCTCGAGTGCGCCCCTGCGAGTGCCTGGGCTCGGTGTGGTCGCAGAGAGACCGGCCCGGGGCCGCAGGCATCGCTCCAACGGTGCGCGCCACGGTGGCCCAGTTCAACAAGGTGACCGGCTGCGTGCTGGGCTCGGTGCTCGGAGCGCCCGGCCTGGCCGCCCCGCTGAGGGCGCTGCGACTCGAGAAGTGGATCCACATCGCTCAGGTGAGTGTTGCGCTGGGAGGAGACAGAGAAAGGGTGGTCCGTGACTCTGGGGATCGCACAGGGATGCTGAGGCGGGTCTAGGGATAAGAGGAGGGGGCGAGGAAGTGGGGGTGGGGGGAACAGGATTGAAGCAGGAAAGAAAATGAATAAAGGCACAGGGACCTAGGGATTGAAGGAACAGAAAGACTTGGGGGCCCAGAGGAGAACAGTGTGTGGCTTGAGGGGTCTGAGGGCAATGGAGGGATAGTGGGCGTAGGCGCCTGGGAAGAGGATGATACCTGGGGAGAAACTTGGGTTCAGGCAGGAGGGATAGAAGCCTGGGAGTGATGCTGTCAGAGAGGTGGGGGGCCTAGGGCGAGGTAGGGGGTCGACGGGGCTCGAGAGGTGCGGGGAGAAACAGGTCCAGGTCAGAGGGGAGGGGAGGGGTGGGTAGACTTCTTGGAGAGGAGGCTTAAACCTGATAGTTTTGTCAGATGTGAGGCAAGATGCAGGGGTCAGAAGTCACAGGGTCAAAAGTGGGTCTGGAGTCTGACTAGCGCCCCCATCTGGGCTGCTCCCCAGCGCTGCCGGGAACTGCGGAACTTTTCCTCCTTGCGCGCCATCCTGTCCGCCCTGCAGTCAAACCCTATTTACAGGCTCAAGAGCAGCTGGGGTGCGGTGAGCCGGTGAGCAGTGCTACGAGTGGGGAGCCGCTGGGGTGGGACCACCTCCTCACCCCACCTTGCAAGTTCTGACCCCTGACCTCTCTCTGATGCCCCAGAGAACCGTTATCCACGTTCAGGAAACTTTCTCAGATTTTCTCCGATGAGAACAACCACCTCAGCAGCAGAGAGATTCTTTCTCAGGTATAGATGGGCTTGAGCTGTAGATCCCAGGCCCAGGGAGGCATGGGTCCCGCCGGGGCGTCATCGGTCCACCTTGTCATGGTATGACATCCAGTGTTCTTTCCCTGTGCCTCAGGAATGACCTTCCCTTTGGCCTTGGGCAGTCCCATTGCCTTTGCTGCCTGCCTCCCTCTTCCCGGTTAGAGCTCATTTCCTGATTGCCTTGTTTATTCATTCAACAAAACGAAATGTCACAAGGGAAAGGTCAAGCCATAGCAAATGGGGAGGGGGGGTAGGCTGGGGACTTGACCTTGATAAGTAAAACTAACAACGGTGTGCCAACAAGCCTGGTTTACAACACATAGTCCTGATTCAGAGGGGTTCTCCCTTAGCCCCCCATCATCTCCACCCCACCCTGCTACTGCTGGTATATCTCTGTCCACAAAAGCCCATGGCCATCAAGTCTATTCGGACTCATAGTGACCTCATATAGGGTTTCAAAGACTAAGTCTTCATAGGAGCAGAGAGCCTCATCTTTCTCCAGTGGAGCAGCTGGTGGGTTTAACTGCCGACCTTTTGGTTAGCAACCCAACACCTAAAACACAGTGACACCCGAGCTAACATATTATTGAGCCCATAGTAGGTGCTCAATAAATATGTTAGTGACTGAATGACAAGAAGCACTAAGCACCTACTGTGTGCCAGGAAGCTCCACCAAGAGCCAGGCAGACTGCGCCTTCTCTGGAGGACTCAGTACCATAACAACTGCCCTAGAAATGCTGGGATTACCAGGCAGAGCAAAACTCTGGAGACAAGATCCAGAGTGTCCCCACTCAGGCCTGGCATAGGATTCTCTTCTGCCCTGGTACCACCAGCCCCACCTCCCATCACTCCAGTGGGGCCTGCTTACTGCTTATCCCTGTCTCCCTCTGGCTACTTTTCCCCAGGGCAGTCCAGCTTGACCTTTGGCCTATACAATGGATTTGTGATTGTTGAAAGCAAAATGGGGCACGTGGTGGGTCTCGAGGCTCTGTCCTGAAGGAGGGCTCAAAGGAGAGCTTTCTCTCCCACAGGAGGAGGCCACGGAGAGACCTCAAGAAGAGGACAGTCCCCCGGGAAGCTTAGCTTCAGTAAGTGATGCCGTTTGGGATGAGGGATGCTTGGGGAGGGAGGTAGAGGCTGATGGAGGGGTTGTTAACCGCAGAAAATGACTGGAACTCTGGGGGCTGCAGAAGCTGCCTCCAGGCCCTGTCCCCTACCTCGGTACCTTCCTCACTGACCTGGTCATGCTGGACACGGCCCTGCCGGACACACTGGAGGTCTGATCCCTGATCCTTGACTCCTAATCCCAGCCCCTGCCTCCTGATATCCCAGCCCCTGGCCCTGACCATTGTTCCTTGACCCTGGAGTCTCTAGTTCAGACTTACTTTGTCTAATCCTAGGGGGATCTCATCAACTTTGAGAAGAGGAGGAAAGTGAGTAGGCATTGGGGTAGGCAGGCAGGGTGCCCGAGGGAGGGGGCAGAGTGGGACAGGGTCTCAGAGGCTGCCCCCTCAGGAATGGGAGATCCTGGCCCGAATCCAGCAATTGCAGAGGCGTTGTCGGAGCTACTGTCTGAGCCCCTGTCTGCCCTTCCTGGCCGCCTTGCGTGCCCAACGCCAGCTCACTGAGGAGCAGAGGTGATTTCTGAGGCCCTCTTACTGCAGGCCCCCTCCAATTCTTCCTACAACCCCCTCCTGAGTCCTGATCCCCAACCTGTGATCTGTTATTGCCAGTCCAATTGATGGCCTCAATCAACCTCTGACCCTATTGGACTTTCTGATTTCCACCTTTGACATTCATCTGGCCATTCAACTCAATGGCATCATCTGTTCTCTTACCCAACTTCAGACCCTGTTTTATCCATGACCCCATTAGTGACCCCCCCAAATATGACCCTCTGACCCCAGTCATTGACCCCAGTGCTGAGTGACTGACACTGAACTGTGATGTTTATTTGACCATCCAACTCAAGTATTCCAATTGTTTCCTTTCATTCCATGGAATCATGACTGAGCATAGACCTCACTGATTATCTGACCCCCAGCCTTCTGACCCTTCACCTTATTTGACTTCTCTGTCTCAGTGTGTGAACCATCTCATCCCACCCCTGACCCTAAAGAGACCTTGGTGCTGTAATTGACCTCCATTTGATAACCCTGACATTTGATGGTCCCACCCAAAGTCTGGTGTGCCTCTGTGGGTTAATGCGTTGGACTGAAAATTCATTTGAATTGCAAGGTTGGTGGTTCAAGCTCCCCAGTCATTCCTTGGAAACCCTATAAAGGGTCGCTATGGGTAGGAACAGACTCGATGGCACTTCACAACAACACCCCAAACCCAACTCCAACTGATTCTAACTCTTCATCCCCTGCTGCTTCCTGGCCTCCCCACCCCCACCCACTGTTAGCTACCGCATCTCCCGTGTCATCGAGCCACCTGCTGCTTCCTGCCCCAGCTCCCCACGCATCCGACGCCATATCAGCCTCACCAAGCGTCTCAGTGCGTAAGTCTCAGGGTGTGTGTGTGGGAGCGATGTGGGTAGGTGGAGGTGTGCAAGAGCTATGGCTAAGCTGAGTCTGACCTTAACCTCATTCCCTGTCCCCATTCTCAGGAAGCTGTCCCGAGAGAGAGGCTCGTCCCCTGGTGGGAGCCCTGGGGACCCCTCATCCCCCACCTCCAGGTAGGGATCTCGTTTGGTGGGAGGAACTGGAGACAGCAGGGTTGGGGGTGGGCCAGCCACCCCACCTCAGACTCTGCATCTATCCCAGTCTGTCCCCAGGCTCTCCCCCATCTAGCCCTAGAACCAGGGACCCTCCTGGGAGTCCTCCAACCTCTCCAGGGCCTCGAGGCCCTAGCACCAAGGTACCAACTACCTGTGTGTGTGGGTGCATGCAGCATTGAGGGTCCAGGCATGCTTGGTTGAGCTCCCTGGGTAGACACCGTGGCCCTGTTTGAGAGATCATTGTGGCAACTTTTGCAAAGTGCAGTGCACGTATTCCCAGGAATCTGCATTTCTAAAGAGAAGATGTGAGCATGGAGATTGGTGGGACCAAGTATGGGACTGTTGATTGAACGGGTGGTCTGTGGGTGTACGACCACTGTGAGCATGTGTGCATTGCTTCCTGTGTACTCGGGATTCCTTATGTGTGAGCTTGGGTTTGTGTGTCTATTGGCCACGTGTACATTGGTTGGGTAATAAGGAACCAAGGTCCGTATGTGATGGATTGTATATACGTGGGCTTGTGTGGGTGCTCTGACTATATGCCTCAGGCTTTGGGTGTGTAGGGGTCACGTGGCCTGTGTGTACTTCGGATACAACAGTGTGGGAGGGGCTGCCTGCCCTCTACCCTTCAGTGTTGACAGCTGGGTCAGGTTGCAACCTCTGCCACCCCCACCCTCACTTTCTACAGCTGCCCCTGAGTCCAGACCTGCCAGGCTCCCAGGTCATGGCCTTACCCCTGAGTGGCCCTCACATCCCTGTCCCTGGACAGCAGGGCTCAGATGCCCGTGTCATCCGCGTTAGTATCGACAACGACCATGGGAACCTGTATCGGAGCATCTTGGTGAGGGGCTGGCCTGGGAGCCTGCTATGGGAACCCTGTTTGGGGGCTTGATTCTCAACACCTCACCTCCTGTCCCTGCCTTCCCAGCTAACCAGTCAGGACAAGGCCCCGAGTGTGGTCCAGCGAGCCTTGCAGAAGCACAATGTGGTCCAGCCCTGGGCCCGAGACTACCAGCTCTTCCAGATCCTTCCTGGAGACAGGGGTGAGCAGGGGACAGATTGGAGCCTAGGCTTGGGGGTGACTAGGAGGGTGGCAGATACCAGGGCCCATGATGGAACACAGAACAGTCTAAGCTCACAGAGCCATGAAGTGGTTTGGCCTCAGAGTAAGGGTAAGATGACTTTCTATGGCCTCAGTGGCATGGAGTCCTGGTCTGGTACTGTGGGTTAATGCACCAGACTCCAAAACCATTTGCTGGTGGTTCAAGCTCACCAGCAGCTCCTCATAAACCCTATGCAGGGTCGCTATGGGTCAGAACTGACTCAACAGCATTTAACAACAAGAAGTGGCAGGGGTGGGGTATGGCAGTAGATGACTATATTTAAATTGTGAGGCTTGTGAACTTGACCAGGTTTTGTGTAAAGAAACCAAAAACCAAACCCATCTCATTGCTCTCAAGTTGATTCTGACGGCCACAGAGCCGCTGGTGGGTCTGCCAGCTTTTCGGGTCGCAGCCAGTGCTTAATCACTCTGCCACCAGGATGCCGGAGTGTGAGGAAGGAGTCCACCAAAACATGAGCTGTGCTGTAAAATCAGTTCCAAGTCATAGCGACCCTGTCTGTATAGGGTTTCCGAGACTGTAAATCTTTACGGGAGTAGAAAGCCTCATCTTTCACCCGTGGAACAGCTGGTAGTTTCGAACTGCTGACCTAGAGGTTAGCAGCCCAACTGGTAACCACCACGCTACCAGAGTTCTTTATTTTTTTAGGAGATATGGGCAACTGAGATTGTCCAGGGTCAAAGAAGGAAAGGGAATGTAGGCTTACATTTCAGGATCACAAGGCTGTTCAACAAGCTCAGTGTGATAAGAGTAGGCAGCTAAAGGGAAGCTGGACTTGCGACTGTGAGGAAATGAGTTGGACTCAGCCTGGGGACCTCGAAGCCATCAGGACTTGGGATGGGAGAGGGCCAAGTGGATTGGAAATTCAAGGTAGGGGGACATGAGTTTGTTGGGTGTGGAGGTAGGAACAGACGTGGTCTAGGCTTTGGGAGGGCGAGGCGAGGGGTTGACTATTCATACTGAAAGGCAGTGTGAGGATGGCTGGATATTAGGAAGGGTTCCATGAGTTCTCTCAGGTGTTAAGTGTGAGACCTCAGAGTGAGAAGGTGTTCAAGCTCAACGTGAGAGAGGCCTAAGATCGGCTTTGCACTGGATGGACAGACTCAAGGTGTTGAGGCCCCAGAGTATAAGGCAGAAGGTAGCCCAGGTCCTTCGTGGGGAAGGTCTGAGGTGGCACAGGTCACTCATACTATCCCCACCTCTGGCCAGAACTCCTGATTCCTGACAACGCCAACGTCTTCTATGCAATGAGTCCAGCTGCCTCCGGAGACTTTGTGCTGCGGCGGAAGGAGGGAACTCGGCACCCACCCTCTCTTTCCTTGACTTGAGGTGGTTCTCCCCTCCCTCCAGGACACAGACCCCATGGGCAGTTTGGGGCCTGGTATATGTCACTACCAAGACAGAGGGCTCTCCTGGCTGACAACCTTCAACCCCCAGTAGATGACACTGTGCTCTCTACCCTGTGATCCACCCCCTATCCAACTTTAGCCCATTGTATGTCATCCTTTTAACCCTTCTGGTACTGGATCCATGTTTCAAGGACACCAACCATGGGATGGCTGGTGGAGAGCTTCACCCCATAAACACAGAAGGGGACAAGGCATTGGGGAGAGCAGTGGTGGTCAGACCCTTTCCCAAGGAAATCTTATAACTATTGGAGACACAGCAGAACTGACAGAAGCAGATGAAAATAGTGCACAGAGTTATGAAATGGGAGTCCTGTTCTGTGCCTATAGCCAATGGTGATGCTTCATCAAGTAAAAACACACACACTCATAAAGAAAAACTAAGAGCCCTAAGACAGCGCTGGGATTAGGCATACCTGATTCCAGAGAGGCTTCTTATTTTGTTTTTGACTTTCTATTGTAAATTGAGTGAAGGTTTACAGAACAGATCATCAGTCCCACATTAAGCAAAATAGACACTTCGTGTCATTACAATGATTGCAATCCACTCTATGTGCCATCAGTTCACAGTAATTACCTCTAGTTACTTCTTCCCCTCCCCAGCTACTCCCCACCCGCCATGTAACCATCATAGAATGTTTCATTTAGCAAGAAAATGTTTCTTAACTTTTACCACAGTGGCTTCATGCATTATTTGTTCTTGTGTGATTCACTAATTTCACTCAACATAACGTCCTCCAGGTGCAGATTGTTCAGCGTTGTGTAATATTCCATCATGTGTATATACCAAAGTTTGTTTAACCATTCTTCTATTAATGAGCATTTAGACTGCCTCCACCTTTTTGCTATTGTGACTACTGCTACTGTAATGAACATGTATGTATGTATATATATATATTCATGTCACAGCCCTTATTTCTTGTGAAATATGCCTCTTGTTTGTCATATACATATATGTATTATTGTTGTTGTTGTTGTTAAGTACCATTGACTCAGTTTCGACCCATAGTGACCCTGTATAGGGTTTCCAAGGAACAGCTGGTGAGCTTGAACTGCCGACCTTGCAGATCAAACCAACTTTGTAATCCAGCACATTAGCTCACAGCCCCACACTTACAAGAGTGAAGAAATCAAATTCCATTGGAATGTTGTTGTTGTTAAGTGCCATCGAGTTGGTTTCAACTCATAGGGTTTCTGAGGAGTGGCTGCTGAGCTTGAAACACCAGCCTTGCAGTTCAAACCAACCTTGCAGTCCAGTGCATTAACCTGCAGCACCGCACCAGGACTCCATTGGAATGGGAGACAAGTAATGTCATTACCACTGAGTCAATAGGGGCTGTGACAGGGAGAGAGTCAATGATCAGTCAATAGGTGCTTGTTAAGTGCCAGCAAGTTGATTCCAACTCATAGAGATCCTGTACAGGGTTTCCAAGGAGCAGCTGGTAGGTTTGAACTGTTGACCTTGTGATTCAAAACCCAAGGAGATGAAGAAGACAGATATGAAGTGAACCCTAGGTCCAATTGCAACATACCAATATTAAGAGTCATTTGACTTACGAACGCCTCCTGTGTGCTGATCCTCAACCATGGGCTTTTCATCTCACAATATTACTCAAGCTTGTTTTAAGTGGCCAAGACCACAATTCAAACAAGCTTGTGCAAAAAAAAAAAAAAACATAAGGAAATTTAATGGTTCATGTAACTGAAAACTCCAGTGGGCCAGAATTTAGACACAGTTGAATCCGGGAACTCAGAAAATGTCATAAAGATGTTGTCTCCATCACTCTGCTTTGACATGCTTTGAGTATGAAACTGTCCATTGAGATCCCAAATCTAATCATCTTCTTCTACAGTAATAATTGCAAGATGGGATCATAAGTCTTAGTCAATGAGAGGTAAGGGGAAAGGATGTAGGCAAATTTCAGATCCTGCTCTTAAGGGAAGAAAGTACCTTCCCCCCTTTTTTGCCTTCTACTGGCTGGAATGAAGATGTGGAATGGTCCATTTTTGCTGGGTAGTTCCACCCTTTGAATAGCCCAGGTACAAGCTGGAAGGAGCCCTGTTAGGTGCCATCCAGTCAGTACTGACTCATAGCAACCCTATGCACAACAGAACAAAACACAACCTGGTCCTGCGTCAACCTCACAATTGTTGCTGCATTTGTGCCCATTGCTGCTGCCACTGTGCCAATCTATTTCCTTGGGAGTTTTCCTCTTTTCTCAGACCCTCCTCTTCACCAAACATGATATTCTTCTCCAGGGACTGGTTCCTCCTGACAATATGTCCAAAGTATAAATAAAAGACAAAGTCTGGCCATTTTGGCTTCCAGGAAGCATTCTGGCTGTACTTCTTCCAATATAGATTGGTTTGTCCTTTTGGCAGTCTATGGTACTTTTAATATTCTCCTCCAACACCATAGTACAAATGCATCAATTCTTCTATGGTCTTCCTTATTCACTGTCAAACTTTCACATGCACAAGGCTATTGAAAATAACAAGGTTTGAGTCAGGTGTATCTTAGTCCTCAAACTGACATCTTTGCTCTTGAACACTTTAAAGAGGTCGTGTGCACACAACAGATTTTCCTAATGCGATACATTGTTTGATTTCTTGCCTGCTGTTTCCACAAGTGTTGATGATTGCTACAGATCATTGAGAAGACAAGAAAGAAGGAAAAGGTCAAAATGGATGTCAGAAGAGACACAAACTTGCTCTCCAGTGTAGAGATGCTAAAGCAAATGGAAGAAATGAGGAGGTACAAGAGCTGAACAGAAAAT